ACACGCGGCCGAGCCCGTGTGCCCCCTCGAGTGCAACGTGCCGGAATGCAACGAGGACCACGCTGCTCCGCCTCTAAGGGAGCGGAGCACATCGCTGGGTCGTCGGACGTCGCGTAGAGGCGGAGGCCGGCCGGGCAGCCGCGCAGCTGGGCAGGGAACGCCTCCCTCCCCTCGCAGGCGTGCGGCCAGGCGAGAGGAGGGCGGTCGCTCAGGGGGCACGCCTTGTCGCCGGGGCGGAGGAGGGAGTGTCTGCAGCCCACCCGGTCGTCGACGTGGCCAGTGCGAAGGTGCGCGCCTTAGAGGGGGGGTGTGGGGGAGTGAGTGCGCCCTCTCGTGCGCCGTGTGCTCGGAGCTACCTCGTGAGAAAATGCGAGCCGAGGGCCACGTCTACTACTAGAGAGCGAGTACACAGCCGACTCTACACTGCACGGAGAAGACGCGTCCTCTCGAGTGTCCTCTCTCGAGTGTGCGCGTCTCGAGTGCGCGCCGACGTCGCAGGGCGGGAGCGCGCGCGGACGGACCAGCCTCATGCGGCGCACGCACGGGGGGTAGAAGCGCGCGTAGCCCCCGCTGAGCATCGCCTGCGGGGGAGGTAAGGACGCTCTGGGAGGGAGGGGGGGGGGGGGGACAGAAAGGTCTCTGGGACACTCTGCAGCGGACTACACTCAATCCATCCTCGACCTGCAGGGCGAGGCAGCGATAAGGACGCTCGGGCGTGAGTTGGGGGCCAGGTCTTGGAGACCATATTAAGGCTGCGCACTACACGCCTGCAGGATGCTCGGGCGTGGGTTGGGGGCCAGATGTTGGAGACTATAAGGCTGCACACTACACGCCTGCAGGTGGCCGGCGTCGGCGAGGCAGCGGTCGATCACCTGGGAGAGGGTGTAGAGGGTGTAGCGGATGTAGAGTGTGTAGAGCGATGTAGAGCTGTGGACGCTCTCAAATGCACATTACTAGTAAACAGTTTGAGTGTGCGAGCTGTGTAGAGCTGTAGAGTGTCGACCACCCGCTTCTCAAGGTAGTGGAAGATGACACGCGAGTCAGCTAATAGCAAGCTAATAACAAGCTAATAGTTTGATAGTGACCACCCGCTTCTCAAGGTAGTGGAAGATGACACGCGTCGCCTCGCCCCTCAGCCTGCGGGATGCAGACGCCAGAGTCAGGTGTGGTGAGGGGAGGGGGCGGAAGACGTCAGAGTCCGGGGGAGGAGGACAGTGCGCTAAGAGCAGGTATTGTCGCGCTAGAACGACAGGTATTGCGGTGGTGCAAATAGTAGGTAGTGGCGGGAGCACGGCGGAGAGTACCTAGAAGTACTCGGCGCATCGCGGGAGAGTACACGGGAGACGAGTGCAGGGGGGCTGCAGCTGAGTACCGCTGAGGACCGCTGAGGACAGCTGAACACAGCTGAAACGAGTGCGTACGTGGGTGTATGTCGTCTCGACCGAGTGCTGTGGTCGGCAAGGCACGCGCGGGGCCGAACATATACATTGAGAGCATCTAGGGCCACTCAGCGCGCGCGCAATCTCGTCGCAGCTGCGCGGGCTGCGGAGAAGGAGCACGCCCGGCCCGGGGGCGAGGTCCTCGCCGCTCGCGACAAAGTTGGACACGCCGTCGAGCGCGATGTAATGCGAGAGGTCAAAGTGGCTGCCCCGGCAGAGCGGCATGGGCGCGCGGAAAACGTAGTGGCGCGTGAGCTTCCGCGGGATGCAGAACGCGGTGCGGACAGAGCGCCGCGACTCGTTGTGGTGGAGCAGGAGCAGCTGCATCGCGCCCGCCACGCCGACGATGGAATGGCCGACGCCGGTGCGGCGCCAGCCGTCCACGAGCACGACGCGCCGCGCCGCAGAGTTGCCCGCGGTGTCGGCGAGCCAGCGGCCGGTGGGGCAGGTGGCGTTGCCGGCGGTCGCCATGTGCAACTCGTTGGGCCGGAGAGCGGCCATTTGCCCTCTTTTGACGAGCAGCAACCCAGGAGAGGCGCCGCGAGCTGAGAAAAATGAACCACCAGCTCGACGCTACAAGTGATCACTTTAGTAAAACTGCCCAAGTGCTCCAAGTCGGTCGGGCTGGTGGTTCGACTTTGAAACGTCCGTTTCTCCACCGCTTCTCTTCACAGGAAAATCGTGTGAAGATAAGAAACCTAAAGCACCATGCGCGCTCCGGCGCGTGGGTTGAGATCGCCCCCGGCAGCCCTAGGCCCCGCGCGCGGGCCGCGACCGCGACCGCGGCTCTCGCTCGAGCCCGAACTGCCCGTCAGACATGTCGGACTTGTCGGAGAATAGCGACTAGCACACCTCTGTCAAGAGTCCCCAGAAACCCGAGGAGTCACACAGTCCTCCTGTGTGATGCACGCCCTGCGAGCGGGGCGCGGTGGCTGCGCACTGTGTTCGTGCGTCGCCCATCTCTACTGGGGTGACTGCTCTATTTATTTATTGGAAACACCTAGGTGACAGACCCGTCGAGGTTCTCGAGGTGGGTATCCTTTGGCCGCGTTGGGTTAGCGAGGATTGGTGTAACGCGATCCTCGCAGGCGTGTCTTCTGACGGCCGACCGTCAAGCCCCCGGGAAAGTCAGTGCGGCAAAAATAAGCATCGTGAAGCGAGGCGCCACGTGAATCTGACACGAGCACCTTGCTACACGTGTAGGCGCGAGCCTTGGTTAACCCTGTTACGTCCACATTTCGAGTGAGTGAAAACCAACTCCTGAGCACGGCGCCGCAGGCGCCTGTTGATAGGTCCGGCCGCGGAGGGCTCCGGGTGCCTGAAAAAGACGGATTTACGTGGGCTGTGGGAGATTTACTGTCGACCCAAACGACACTGTGCCGTGATCCTCTCATACAGGGCTAACTAAATATTTAAGCCAAAAAATATTTACCGAGCCGTTTTAAAGTTCCACCGCTACGACTGGAGATATATCGAGATTTGCTCACCATGAGCGTGATGGCGCGAAAGGGTTAAGATGCGCGCCTACACGTGCAGACCCTTATCCTCACGGCACTTTCCGGGGTTTGCCTCTATTCGGTGCTCTGCACCTCTCAGAAAAAACAAAAAGGAAGCGCGAGCAGGCGCCGAACAAAAGGAACCCACGATTGATTGATTGATGGGAAGGCGAAACACAGTCCGACCAACGACTGGGACACCAACGCGTTGGGTGGACGAGACGGGCGATTACCACAAAGAGAAAAACGCGCTGCTGGACGGCTACAGACGCTGAGTCGAGCCGACATCACCCATGTCGCTCATCTTCCTGTCACTCCTCGCCTCGTCCGCCGAGACACTCCGCCTCTACGTCCACCGTGAGGAGCCAAAGCTCGACAACCCAAACGGGCCCTGCTCGACTCTCCTCGACATCGCTCCGTCGGCCGGCGTCGACGGGGCTCTCCGGCTCGCCTCTGCTCGCCTGCAAGTCTCACTCAGCTCGCTTGCCACCGAGAGCGGCACGACCGTCACCTCGCTCGCTGCGCTGGCCAACGACACCACCCTGCGCGCCCTCGAGGCGTCGCACGCAGAGGCGGCGGCGCGGAGAGAGCTCGCCGCAGCGTACCGGCTCTTCCACATGTATGGACTCGCGCCCTTTGACGGCGAGAGCATCAACTTCATCGCGGCCCGCCGTGCCCAGATCTAAAGATACAGATCCGTGTATTCCGACTAGCACTCGAGAGGGAAAGTGCTCGGCCGTGTTCGTAGCCCTCGTACTCAGGCACTCCTCTACGCACGCGGCACGACGCCGCAGTCACGCACTCACGACGGCGCGTTCACGACGCAGGCCCGCGTGCCTGGCTCGGACAGCTTTCTGCTCAACGACTACACGCTGCTGTGGGAGGAGGCGGCTGCAGCCTCGCAGTAGTAGCAGCAGCTGTGCACCAACCCTGGGAGCGCGCTCCAAGATAAGCCACGACGACGACGGTGCATCACCACCTTTGCCACCTCCCGTTCACCGCATGGCCATTGTCGCAGCCACCGACTAGCACACACGGGGACACGGCTGCAGTAAGCTGTCCACAGGTGACCGCCTCCTCGCTCCTCCGCATCCCGCTCCTCGAGGGCGAGCAGAGACTAGATGGCTGGAATCATGACTAGATGGCTGGAATCATGACTAGAGGCTGGAATCATGACTAGAGGCTGGAATCATGACTAGAAGCTGGAATCATGCCTCTCCGCGACCACTAGCGCTCGAGAGGACACGTACTCCACTGCCAGCCTCGCCGCGTTCACGTAAACGCACAACCCAGGGCCCCGAAATCGCACAGTGACAGTCAGACACGAAACACGGGGCCCTTGGCAAGGCGAGGAAAAGCCGTATCGCGCGTCGCTAGACGCCGACTCGGAGGCCGCACCGTTCACAGATAGGTTGACAAGAATTCACATTCACACCTCGTGGATGCGCGAGGCGAGCGGGCCGGCGCGGCGCAGGGGCAGCCCGGCCACCGCAACCCGAGGCTCGACGAGGCGCCGCTCGAACGAGCTGTTCGTTTTCTTCTTTACGCGGGCGGCGCGTTTCTTTTTTAGGCTCAACGAGGCGTCGCTCGAAGGCGCCACGGCCGTCTTCCAGAACCGGCGCCGGGAGAGTGGGAAGAACGGGAAAGCACACACCCCACCAGGGGGCACACTGCACGGGCGCGGGGCGCGGACTACAACTGTAGTGCGCACCAGCGCGGACCCGGTGGTCTGCTCCTGTCGTGGACGCGCCTTCTGTCGTCTTGGTCTCTCCCGGCGCCACGTGAGACGCTGCGTTTGCTCCTTCGCGGCGCAGGTCGGACGTGGCGTGCTTCCTCCACTCTCACACGCTCGACACGGCGACCGCCTCCTAGCTCAGAGGAGGGGATGTTTGGACTGCATGCCCCTATGGTCTCACCGTCTCGAGTCTTGAGTCAGGCGACCGTCGCTTCGCTCGAGGAGGGGGGGCTGTAGCCCGCCGCCGCGGTGATGAACGAGCCTATGGAGGGACTGGTTGGTTGGTTGGTTCACTAGGAGGGGCTGCAGCCCGTCTCGCAAGCGGGCATCATGCTGGCGAACATGGTGGCCCACTCCCACTTCGACTTTTACCAGGCGCACCCTCCCCCCCCCTCCCCCACCCCTCCCCCCACCCCACCCCTCCCCCCACCTGCCCCATCCTCGGCGCGTACGTACGAGAGAGGCCAGCCTTCACCTTCCCGCCCTTCCGTCGGCTTCCGCCAGGGCGGTCCGGAGACCGTCCGGCTGCTCGGCGGCAAAAAGATCATGCTTCAAAAGTGGCACGGCATGTTTGTGGCGGGCGAGAGCCTCGGCGAGTGCTTCTACCTCGCGCTCTCCATCGACCGCGCCTGCCACGCGCAGCGCGCCCTCCTGCAGACCGGCAGGCCGTACCACTCCCCGACGGGGGAAGAGGTGGCGCGCTGGAGTCGCGCCTACGGTGAGATTGCAGCCGAGATTCAGCGAGATTAGCCGAGAGCAGCACTGGCTGCTCGAGGACTCGGTGCACAGCCGACCTCCCCCCCCCCCCCCCCCTCCCCGCGCAGTGGACGACCCCTTTTATGGGGGGTACGACGGAGAGCGCATCTGGCCTTCGATGGTGCGAAAGGTGGAGCGGCTGCAGCCTGACTTTGCTCTATGATGGTGGCTTTGGTGGCCCCGCCCCGCGAGTGTAGGACAGTGACACTGAGTGTTCTTGTGAGTGCGTGAGACACGGCCCCTGCAACAAAGTAACAGTGGGTCGGTGACTTGGAGCTGCGTCGTCGTGACGTAAAGAAGTACCTCAACAAGGAAAGGGGGAGCGAAAGCGTATTGTGCGCTGTCGATGTGCCGCGAGAAGGCTCGCAAGCCACCTTCAGAGATCACAAAAAAGAGATCGCTGTCGACGTGTCGCTCAGATCGCCATCGATGAAGCACTGCACCGCGACGCCTCGCTCAGGGCGTGCGCCGTTGCGCCGCACATGCTGCCTTGGCCGAGCGTTTTTGATCTCTCGGTAAGTGGGCGCCCGCCCGCCGCCTCTGAGGGGGTCGGGCCCCCTAGACTGAAAACAAAAACAAAGTGTAGAAACCGTCAAAAACAGCCTGCGAGAGCGGCGCTGCGCGCCGCCTAGAGGACGACGACATCGAGGATGTCATGTTGCGCGATGGCGTCATCCATTTGCATTTCGTCAAGCCACCTTCATCGTGACCGTCGCCACCCTCGCCACCGTCTCGCCTACGTCGCCGCCGTCGCCATCGTCGGCCTCGCTGCCGAGACGGTGCTGCTGCACCTGACTCAACTCTCCCACCACCCTGGCTCCTATGCCGACGTGTCCCGTGCTCCCCCGTCCGCCGATGTCTCTGCTGCCGCCCGGCGGAGCTCTGCAGCGCGGACTCTCCTCGCCGCCTTCGCTGCCGCTGCATCGCTGTCGGCTCGTCATGTCTGTCTAGGGTCATTGGGGGCGTGCCATCGCTCGTCTCTCTCTCTCCCGGGGTCAGCTCCAAGCTGCCGTGTCGGGACGTCGCCCCCTCGGCTCCCCCCCCCCCCCCCTCCGCTGAACGGTACTGCACATGCTGCGCGTTCTCGCCTTGTCCCAGGAGCCAGGTGCGTGTGTCTAATCGTAGTGGGGGCCCTGGCCCCCCGCTGTTTTCTGTTTTCTGTTTTTCAACACGCCCGCCCGCCCGCCACCCCGAGGCGGCTCGGCCCCCCACTTACCGAGAGATCAAAAACGCTCGGCCCTTCTCGTGGCGAGCAGCTTGGGCTTCTTGCGCATGGAGCCTTCTAGGAGTGGCAGGAGCCCACTGGAGCCCACTACTGGAGCGCAACTGGAAGGTACTGCGCACCGTACAGCACCGTACAGCACCGCGACGTCGCCTGCGGGTAGACAAAAGAAATTCCGCATCGGTGTGCCTTCTTTCTTTTAAGGTTCTCCGGGCCACTTTCGGGGGGCAAACCCTGCCCGCCCCCTAGAACCCCGGGTAAGGCCCAGGTGTGGCCTAGGGCATCAGAAGGGACCAAGAGGAGTCCAGTCTGAGCCATAGAGCCCATGTCTTTGCCCCCGAAGGTCGCGTTCAAATGCCCGGAACGGACGTTACAGTGGTGTTCCGGCCGGCGCGATCACCGAGCTGTGACGCTCAGGGAAGCCCGATGAGGTACTGGTTTCTTTGCCCAGGGCTGGCCTACGGCCCGTGCTGGATCAGCTGAGCAAGGTTTGGGGAGAATCCCCCGGTCAGATCTTCAGATATTTTGACGGATGACCGAAAATGGGCAAAAACGGGGTGCTTACCCCACCAAGCGCAATCGCTTCGCCGTGGTCGAGTTAGTGGGGTAAGCCGCTGACGCCATACCCGCAGCTTGGCTCCCCGCGTGACAAACGACGGCCTCCAGACTTCCTCCGGCCAAACCTTTCTTCGGGGCGGCTGCGCCGCCCTGCAGACACCCCGTTGGCGGCACCGAGCGCGAGTTTCCGACGCGCTCGTGACTGGTAACAGACACGGATCGGTCGCCGGTGGGCTCAGCCAGTCGCCTCCAGCAAATGCTTCATCACACGGACGAGACGCGTTCGTTGCTGTGAGGCGGCCACCGAGCCTTCCTGCAAAGAGTTCGGATACGCCAGCCTGTTGTCGGCGTGATCGCCACAGGGCTTAGCTGAGGGTCAGGGAGCCGGTGGTATAGCAGCCACTGCGCAGCACGCGAGCAACCGTACCCGGATGCGTGCCTTGTCCGCTCGGTCGGCGCGGCCTCCGTCCGTGGCAGGCTGCCGTGTCCGTGCCGTGGGGTGTCTGCGTGAGAGACTGTGCGTTGTTTGAGGAGAGGATAGCTTGGTATTGCATTCATATGTCGCAAAGACTCCAGATATAACTCTACGTGGCCACTATTTCTCGCATCCCAAAGATTCCATGACATTCCAACCAGTAGGCTCACCGTCCCCCTGGTCCCGGTGAGCCGGCCGTCAACACCGTCGCGGCCGGCGCGGCCGCTCACCTGTCCCGTCCTCCTGTGTAACCTAAGCTAGACTTTGTGATGCTGGGCAGCCGAACATGCACAAGAAAACCCCGTGGAAAACGGTTAGAATGGCACCGATTTACGATTTTCCGCGCGCTGCGCGCGCCGAGCACGGCCACGGCGCCAAAAAGGTGCTTGCCGGAGTCCGTTTTCAGTCAGTGGACGGACACCCAAAACGACATTTGCATCGGCCGGGCGGACAAATTTAGTGCCTGGGAGCCCCTTTTACAGTGTATGTAGCTCTTACGAACATACCCGTAGGTGAACTGCTGACAGGGTTTGCGATTTTAGAGCCTTCTAAGCCCTTCCTGCTACTTTTTGAGCTCGGGTGCGCTCTGCGATGATGTGAAAATTGTGACCAAAATCCTGTGCTTAACCCTGGTAGGTGGATTGTCCAAAATACGTCAGCCTCGCACGCCTAGAGCTAGGTCTGACACCCGACCGCCCCCCCTCCCTAATATTAACCGGCCAGAGTACATTTTGGCCGGCTAATGTTAGGGAGGGGAGGCCGAAAAACGCAGACTTTTGTCCACCCACCAGGGTTAATCAGCTGGACCGAATTTTACCAAGTTGGTCGCCGTTGGACGTATCCAGTGTTCACTGTCTACGTGTAGCGACGGGCGCTGCGCGATAGCTGCTTTGTGGGTCCCGTGAGCCAAGTCAGCGTCGGGCTGCGCAGCCGGTCGCCATATGTTCGCTCGCCGTGGTCACAAGCCATCGAGGAAGCCACCACACCAGGGCCACAATCGCGTTGCGGACCAGGTGTGTGACCCTGGCGGTGGCGAGCCTTTGGCGCACAGCGTGAGCATGCCAGCACGGCTCGCATCAGGGCTGCACCCGTCGCCGAGCACCTCGTGCACTCCACACGGATCGGGTGATGCCACGAGCCCGCTGCGCGGCTGCACCGAGTGGCTCTCTGTGGCAGGGAGTGCACTTTTATGCCACATGTTGGCGTTGCCTCGCAGCATGCCGAGTGGGCCTTCTGTCTCTGAGGAAGAACCGAAATGCGAATTCGCGCCCTGCCGATCTCCGAGTGGTCAGCCGGAGAGGTCTGTGGACACGTGTGCAGTCGAGGCAGCCGCGGTCGGCGCGTCTCTGGCATCTGCGTGGTGAGCACCCTGGCGGTATGCGTGCGCAGCAGGCTCAACGCAGGGCCAGTTGACGTGTCCGGTCGGAGGTGGAGCGCTACCAACGGCTCGAATGGTTCCTCGCGGGTCGGATTCCGTCCACGCGCACGCGTCGGGCACCCGCTCAGCAGCACCGAGGGGTATCTGTCGCGTCACAGCCATCGTGTGCTGCAGCCTCCGGCAAACCAGTGCCGGCAACTGGCCACCATCGACACACGGAGAACCGCTCGCACGAGTCAGCCCAGAGGCGATCGATGGGCGGGAGAGGCCTCTGGTACGGACATACAGCTCGGGCCCGACGGACGGCGCGAGGGGGCGATCTCGCGCGGGTCCAACTTTGGCCTGTGGAGGCGTGAAGAGGGGAAGCGGAAGGAAAGGCCCCCCTGTTTTTCTTTATTACATGTCTCATAGCCTCTATATCCTTTTTCTGGAGTTTGGTTTGGAGTTTGGTTTCTCTATGTATTCTAAAGGCGCGGCGCCAAACTCCAAACCAAACTCCAAAAATAGATATAAAGGTAAGCTTGCGTCAGAGAATCTCGCGAGGATCTGGCGCGCCTCAATTCAACGAACCCACGCCGAGCGACGCTCCCGGCGTGCGGATCTTGCTTGACAGGTGCCTCGCTGCGTGCGCCGCTGCGCCTGCGCTCGGCCCTCGCTGCCTGCGCCTGTCTGTCAGCCTGGACACGCTCACGGCGCTCGCGGCGCAGTCACTGTGGCTGGTCCGAGCGGGCGCGGCATGCTGCGGCTCCACACTGCCACTGCAGCCTCTAGGCAGAGAGGAGCCAGTACTCCTCTGTTCAACGCATAGGCGATCGCAACTCGACCCCTGCCACCGCGCTGGCGCGTGCTGCCGCTCGTGTCTGCGCGACAGTTCCGATGAAACCGTGCTCCACCCTCCCGTGACGGCCCGAGCCTCAACTCCAGGCTCAGCTGAGAGATACACTGCTACTGGTGGCTGAGCGTCGGAGGTGCCCTCTCAGCTATGTGTCTTGGTCCGTGAGGACAGTCTGCCAGCTCCCCTGGTCATGCGCTAGCCGTCTCGGCCGATCGGTCCCCGGCGGCCGTATTTGTGTGTTGCTGCTGCGGCCTCGCAGTAGCCTTGCCGGGCTGCCCCCAGCGAAAGATAACTTCAACATTCACTTCAACACTGGCGATACGGCAGCCGCTATACGTGCATAGGTCATACGCAACACGTGGGCAGCCTCCCCCCCCGTGAAAAGTCCATGAGTCGCCGTCAGGCCGTCGGACTGGCGCCACTGGCGGTGCAGCAGTGATTCCCGCAAGTCGCCTTGGTGCTCGCGATCGCCCTCGCCGCCCCTCACTTCGCCCCCGGGCCAAGCCTCCGGTGCCGTGTCTACCCCACAGCCCCCGATTTGGACGCCCGAGGCTCGGCTGTGTCCGGGTGTGCATGAAAAACGAGAAAACAGGCCTTTTTGGGAAAGCCGACTTTGCCCCTTAAACAGAGCAAGTACCGGGTAAGCTCGTACGGCCAGGATCCTGCCAGGGTCGCCCACGGGTCAAAAATTTCTTCGCTCCGCGTATTCAACACGTAGGACATCAAAATGGGTCAAAATGGGCTATTTCACGCCTCTTCAGGCTCCCAGATCCATCTTCTCACCACTGTCCATCCTGAAATTGCGTCACGAGGGTCACAGTGGCCTGTTAGACGCGCTGGGGTGCCAGGGGAAGGAGCCGTTACGACCGTTACGGCGTGGCCGACCGTTACGCGAGTGCGCGAAGTGCGGGACCAACCAACCAACATCTGGAGGCCTGGAGTGCGCAGAATGGGGGACCACCCAACCAACCCAGGGCCCGGAGTGGGTGAATAGGGTTGGCAGCTTGGTAATCCATCGGGTGCAGGGCCGACGTTGCCGGCGAGCCCCAGGGCCGGGAAGCCTGCGCGAATGCTGATCGACTCGTCGTGGCTGCCGCGTCCGGCGACCACGACCGCGCCGTATGCGTTGGTCGTGCTCAACGGTCACTACAGCAGCGACGCCGCGCTCGGCCGGCTGCGGAGCGGTGCACGCTTCTGCGTCTGCGGCGATGGCGGCGCAAACATACTGCACAGCTTTGCGAGCGCGCGCACGTCCGGATCGCACGATCTCTTCTCGCTGCGGCCTCCGGATGCCATCGTCGGCGACTTCGACTCGATCGACCCGACGGTCCGCGAGAGCTATGCGCGCGACGGCGTCGAGATCTCAGAGCTGTCGGACCAAGACTCGACCGACTTTGAAAAGTGCCTGGGGAGGGTGCACGCGTGGTGCAGTGACGCCGCCGTGGGCGCGGTGCCCGCGGCGGAGCTCATCGTCTGCGCGGTCGGCGCCTTTGGCGACCGGCTCGACCACGAGTTTGCCGCCATCAACGTGCTGCACGGCGACAGCGCGTCGCGCTTCAAGCGCGTGCTGCTGCTCTCCGAGGCGGCGTCGGCGTGCGTGCTGCCCGCAGGCCGCTCCGTCATCCGGCCCGACGCCGCCCTCGAGGGACCGACCTGCGGCTTGCTGCCCGTGGGTGGGCCTTGCGTCTGCAGCACCAGCGGGCTGCGCTGGGACCTCTCTAGCACGCCGATGCGCTTCGGCGGCCTCGTGTCGCGCTCTCGGCGGAGCGCGGCGCGGGCGGCGACGCGCGTCACACGTCTGGGTTGTGAATAGGCGGGCTCGTGTCCAGCAGCAATTGCATGGAGGTGCGGTGTGTGTGGGTGTGGGTGTGGGTGGGTGGGTGCGTGTGTGTGTGTGTGCGTGTGTGTGCGTGTGTGCGTGTGTGCGTGTGTGTGTGCTGAACCATTAATTTAAGTTTACTT